AATCAGTCATCTTCAGGCATGGAAATTATGAAGATCACTGTACATTCAGTCACCTTCAGTTGAAAGTACTTATATATATGTCAGTTTGTATATAAAAAAAAACTAAATAAATGCACCTTTAAAATTTTGTTTGCGAAAGGATTTCGCCATTTTATATCATTAACTATACTAATCTACTTTTGAATGAATGATTCATTGTTATATATATATATATATATATATATATATATATATATATATATATATATATATATATATATAGATAGAGAGAGAGAGAGAGAGAGAGAGAGATTTAACACGTACCTGTTGAATTCGTTTATTTTGATGGTTTTTAGCCTATTTCTTTTAATCTCACCCACTTCACCTCATTATTCCAAAATAAACAATAACTAGAATGAAACTATTTAATCAGTGAAACCTAGGCTAAAATCTATAGCAAGATTACAGCACTTGTCTTTTGTTTGTTTGTTTTTTTTATTTTTCAGTCAATCCCTTTGAAATTTAGAGGAAAATTAACTATTACGTATATATATATATATATATATATAAAAGAAATATAGTCTTAAGGTGTGCTATGTTTATGGAATAAAGTGCTCAATATCAGAGATAGAGCGTGTGTAAATATAAAAGTGAACATAGAAGTTAACACTTAGAGGCGACAGTCTGTTTCGTGCTATATGCAATCGTCAGGCCACGACGATTGCATATAGCATGAAACAGACTGTCGCCTCTAAGTGTTGACTTATATATATATATATATATATATATATATAAACATATATATATATATATATATATATATATATATATATATATATATATATATATATATTCACAGACAAGATGATTTAATTCAGCATAAAAGAATGAAAAGAATAAGTTTAGCTCTGTTTTTCTATGCCCCATTTCTTTCCGCCCCTCTTCCTCAATGATGATTGAAATTATATATTTTAATGGTGTGTTATCGACGATAATGGCGGTTAGTTTTATTTCTGTGATCACTCGCTTAAATGCGAATGTTGGGAACTTAAAGAATTTTAAAAGGTTCTGAAATCTTTCAGAAAAGAAAAAATAAAGCCTGGTACATTAAGGACATTATCGTGTGTTGAGGTTTTTGATAAATTATCAAATAGAACATGGTACTTTCTTCAAAGGACGCTAAATATAACAAACTCTTATATTGTAAACATGCTAACTACAAACAGTATGAGAAAATCATAAAATTTTTTAAAAAAAGCTCATCGTAACAATATATCTCCTATGGATCCCAATTAAAAATAAAATTAATCAGATATTATACAAAATAAAAATCCAACCAATTTAATTATTCGCAAAAGCTCCTCCTCACTAACTGCTATATTACGTAAAAACAACATTATATATCAATTGAAATTTCCCTTGGGAGAATGTCTCTCCGACAGAAAAACAAATATGTATCTTGGATATACGACAACTACATTATCAAGACGTTTTACTCTACACATATCTCATCATTCATTCATTGCGAGACATTTACACCAACATTCCTCTGCACATTCACAGTATAGAAAAATACTGATTGATAGCATAAATATCCTCCACCAAAGAAATAACAAATTAAGACTACAAAAACTTCATTAAAAAAAATTGAAGCCGACACTGAATAGAATGAGCTACGAATACTGTAATAACGTTCTAAATGCCTATGAAAAAAACGGTTTTCACGCTTCAATACGCGTGACATTCCAAAATAAAAGAAAAAATTCCATGAAGGATAATTTTTCACGTTGTACTGAACGCTAAAGCATAACTGTCAACAGTTGCATTTAAACGCAAAAAGAGAAATATTAAGTAATGGAGAGCTATACATAGTTTTTGCCATACCAGTTGCACCCCTGATGAAGATCTCCAAAAGAGATGGAAAATACTTCGGAAATAAAAGACATTTTCACCGTTACACTTCATTTCCTGCCTCATTTGATTGTAATACATGGAAAAGATATTCGTGAATATGAAATGAATATGCTAAAAATAAGCAGACATAAAGGTTTGTAATTTATTTCATCACACACAAACACACAGACACACAGACACAGACACACACACACACACACACACACACACACACACACACACACACACACACACACACACATATATATATATATATATAGATTTATTTTACGACCAGTTTGCCTTAAGTAATGATTTATCCATTTAAAAAATAGCCTAGCATAGATTCTTTTAGTGGATACTCATATTAGAGTAGATGCTCCATTTGTTTCTTAAACGGTATATATATATATATATATATATATATATATATATATATATATATATATATATAGTTGTATATTTAGGCAGCAATAGTTCGTTTATACATGTTTCATTAAAAACGACAGACAACGTACTACGGTTAAGGTTTTTATTTAATTTTTCTTGTGTTCGAACAACAGCTTTCTTTTCTGGACAAAGGGTGCGTAAGAACTGCCCTAATATTTTATATTTCCGAGCGCTTTCGGCTATACGTTTAGCCATTATCAAGGATGATTCGATCTTTCATCTTACTTGAGTGTGTGCGTTATGTGTATGTATTAGTGTGTGTTAGGGATGTTTTTAATTTCCGAATACGGTTAGCATATTGTGGCTTTGTTCGTAGTTAATATTGTTAAGAGTTGGCTTTTTCTTTTTTATTATTAAAGCTTCCATTATTTTTAGTCTTTTTTTACAGGTGGATGCAGTTAATATATTTGTGTTTTCTACTAGTATGTTTCTAATGGAGTCTAATAAAGAAAAAGCCAACTCTTAACAATATTAACTACGAACAAAGCCACAATGTGCTAACCGTATTCGGAAATTAAAAACATCCCTACCACACACCAAGACATATATATATATATATATATATATATATATATATATATATATATATATATATATATATTATACTCTGAATCCTGAGTAAAAGACTGTTCAGTACAACTTCCCCACTGTGGCGAAATTGAAAACAAATGTTCAGTTGAATGGTGGACTTTTCCATAAACTTACGTAAGGGCTTAGAAACAAAAGTTGCCCAATTCATGTGACGAAGATAGAGGCTTACTCAATGAGATTGTTGTAAGCGAGTGGAAGAAAGAAACGGGAAGTGTATATGACGAGTAGTTGTAGTATAGACATAGGTTGACTTGAAGCGGTTATGACTGTAGTGGCCAATAGAGGCATCTACTTTGGTGTCTCTCTCACTAAGTAACACTTCTGGAGAAGATAACGTTTGTGTGGAACTTACTTGCTACAAAGGAACGTGAAACGAACGGGGATGATTTGCCACCGTGAACATGACATGTCCTAGCTGTGTAATAACGACAGAATAGCGGAAGGTTAGTAATGTATCGCCTGTGAGATAAGTGCTGAACAGTGGAAAATGATTCATCACCTACAAGACCGCATAAACGCTTTTGATCTCTGTCAAGTCAAGACAGTGAACAATGGATACCACTAGCCCATATATGGCAGTAATAAGCCTTCTTTGATTTCACTCTTATAAACTCATATATACCCCACTAATGAGTATGATACAATCCTCGTAAATAATTTAGACACTATTATAGGTGGGGGTTATATTCTGTCCTAGTAGTCCACCACTAGCAATGGTTTACCTATTTCACGCCGCTGGCGTAAATCACAATAATAATGTTGAGATTCACGGTTATATTATAAGAAACATTTCAATATTCATTGAGCGAACAGTTAGTATTATACACCGTACCTATGAACACTAATGGCTATGTTCCAATCCTCATAAGTACGTTGAACAGTCTTGTACGTGGGGTGTTGTCAAATTAGTCCACCAGTAACAGTAACACCGCTTGCAAGTATTGTATTTTGTTGATGTTATAAAGATTACCATTTCATTTCCAACCTCCGTTTTGGTTATTCCCCCATTCAGTAACCTTTTCTAGGCTACAATAGATAGATAGATAGATAGATAGATAGATAGATAGATATTGACTTAGCATAGTGTTATATACCTTACCTATTGTTGTGGTACGATCCACCTAATTTACATAGTGGAGTACCGACCATATAAATATGGGCTGGTACCGGAAGACGGGGAAGAAGTAAGAAGACATCCAATCGAGAGACTCTGCCCGACTGCGATTAAGTCAACCCATTCTGCAGGAACAGTCTTCCCAAGAATATACCAAAACTAACTGTAAATATTGTGTACCTTTTCCTTGTTTCAATACATTTTGTTTACGTACATTTTGTGTTGTATTATTATTATTCCATGCTTATCCAAGCTTCAACACCTATGAACACTAATGGGTATGTCAGAATCCTCATAAATACATTGGACGGTAATGTAAGTGGGGATAATATGATTCACCAGTGGTTTACCTACTACACGCCGTTGGCGAGTATTTTATTTTACTGGTGTTATAAAGATTACCATTTTATTTCCAATCTCAGTTTTGGTCATTCCTCATTCAGTAACATTTCCTAGTTTACAACATAAATATACAGCATCGTACCATTGATTGATTTGTTTTTTACGGTTAATTAACCAATTGCATGTTATGTAAAGCCAGAAAATAGTTTTAGATTAAAAGATAATAATGATTTATTGATACAAGGGGAGAAGTGGATTCATACCTTTCTCAAGGGGATTTGTGCGTAAAGGAATATAATGTACCCTAATGGAATTTGAATTCGGCTTTTTAATTAACAATTCCCTTATGCCACACGCACATTACATTAGTATAGTACCACTAGTTAGATCTTTTCTTGAGCGACACAGGGGATCAGCATCCTTACAGTATTTTTAGCGATGGTACGAATATAGGAGTTTCATTCGAGATCTGAAAACCTCATTACTTAAAGAGGTAGAGAAAACGGATACTACACTTTGATCCCATTTCCAAACGTCTGTTCCAGCACTTACTTCTTGTAGGTTTAATCGATCTCTATATTTTTTATCTCTTATTTCTTGGTTCTACTCTTCGTTTTTTTTTTGTTTCCAGGTTTTCTTCCCTCTTCTCATTCGGACACCCACTCCTCCGGACACCTACTCATCCGGACACCGCCCCATCTTTTCTCCTCGTCCTGTGATTGGCCTTTATCATAACTTTTTATTTTATCTATCTCCCACTTCGATTTCAATCATTCCGAACTCCCTTTGCCCTTTGACGTTATCTCCCTGCGTGTTTTATTCTCTCTTCCAACCCAAACTTTCGACTTGAAGGATTTTTTTTCTTCTTCCATATCAATCGCTTACACGTTATTTCATATTTATTTCGCCAAATACCCCTTTTTTTTATTATTCGCAGCCGCTCGTGTCTCGGCACCCTCCCGTTTCTCCGCCAGTGCGTTAATATCGTTTTGCTTATCGGCCGTGCGGGATGTGAGTCCAGTTCAAACGGATGAAATGAACATGAACTTGTACACAACACAGACAAATGCTCATTCATCAACGCCAACATGAAGGCTATCTTTTGTCGCTTAATGTTCACGAACTTTTTAACTTATCAAGTCATGCAATCACGCACAGAGGTATGTGCGTCTGCATAACAGTACATAAATATACATAAAAGCATATATACATATATATATATATATATATATATATATATATATATATATATATATATATATATATATATATATATATTTATATATATATATATATATATATATATATATATATATATATATATATATATATATATATGTGTGTGTGGTCTGCATATATATATATATATATATATATATATATATATATATATATATATGTGGGTCTGCATATATATATATATATATATATATACGTGTTTGTGAACAAATTTATAGATAAAAACAGAAATTATTATATCACCTCATGCAATCTCTTTCATTCATTGAACAGAAATGTAGACAGAGACGTGTCTATCTATCTATCTATCTATTTCTCTCTCTCTATATATATATGTATTTCTGCGTAGCTATCTAATTAACTAACATGGTTCTAACATACACACACACGCAGACATATATATATATATATATATATATATATATATATATATATATATATATATATATAAAAAAAACAAAATAATTTCAACCAAAAAAGGTTTGCGGTTTATCTTTTTAAAATCTACACTTTTCTCTCGTTGGAACAACTATAACCTCTTTTCTCTCTCTCTCTCTCTCTCTCTCTCTCTCTCTCTCTCTCTCTCTATCTATCTATTTATCCTTATGTATATATATATATATATGTATATATGTGAAAAGTGACGATCGCTAAAGCGTGAAACCCAGAGTCACAAACTCGCATCTATCCAACATATATATATATATATATATATATATATATATATATATATATATATATATATATATATATATATGTGTGTGTGTGTGTGTGTGTGTGTGTGTGTGTGTGCGCGCGTGTAGAGAGGAGATAGAGGGAGATAGAGTGAGCAAAAAAGAGGAATAGAGATGTATATAATCAATTTCTGACCGTCGGATCTGATAAGGTAATTAAATTTCTGGCCCCACTTATCTTCAACTATCCCAACGCAGTTTTGTCTTTCATTCCAATCTGAAGAGGCCGAACCAAACACACGTCGTCGGCGAAACGCGTCGTTACATATATTTTCCAATTTGTTGCATTATCTCCACTATCTATACCAGACTTTCCATATCTATCTATCTATCTATCTATCTATCTATCCTTAAATATACAGATACTCATATGCATTTAAGAAAAGCAATAAATTACACAGCATTTTTCCAATGACTTCGTAATTTATTTAAATGTAAAACCAGATTAATAACTGCATAAGTGAGAACTCGCTAGAATTATTATTTATCGCTGTTTTTTTAAATAATGCACTATCGTTTGTGTTACTGTCAACCTTTCTGAGATGAGGTATTATGTACATTATTTACATTATTCGTACTATTTTTCTCATCTTTGTCGCCATATTTATTACAACATTTCGGCCGTTGTACGCTCCAGCCTTCTTTAAGTGGTTGGAATGTCGAACTGAACCCTTTATTTCGCTCACTGGCCTAGACTGTTCTAGTTCCACGTGCCATGTTTAATGGATGTCAGTTTTCAGTAATTTCCTGTTAATTCCCCCCTGAAAGTTCTCCACTGCCTTAACGGGTATTGAACTCACACTCTTTGAGTGCTGTCACTGCATCTAATAACGCCTTTTTCCACTGTGTCATGTGTCCTTGTGTCATGTGTTAATAATTGTAAATGATGCTGTAAATTAAATAATGTGATAGTCGTTTTAAATGTTCCGAATATCAATGCCTATAATAAATAATATATTTGAATCTGCCGTTACACACACACACACACACACACACACATATATATATATATATATATATATATATATATATATATTATGTCATTCAGAGACAGTACTGTTTCGCTATATCACAGCTTCTCAGTGCGACTAGACATCCGAATACTTCAAGCCCTGATCGAAACCCAACCGTTCAGTCAGGGTATCTACCACTAAGCTATCTCCATTCGGCAGAGAGAAACAACTAAATCTAGCGTATTGTTTTTACGAATGAAAACAAATGCCAATCAGCCGAGTGCTCTAATTCATTTTACTGAAGAGTTCTCTACCTCACTTAAAATGATACCTAGTATATTATAGAAACTACTGCTAACTTGCACTATCCAAGCCCCATTCTGTGATCACAAATATATATATATATATATATATATATATATATATATATATATATATATATATGACGTCTTCATAGTTTCAGTTCTGAGTCAGACTTTCAGCAATTTCTATATGTTGAATCTTGAAAATAATATATTTAACAATTTCAAAATAACGTCCATTTCTACCTGCAAGATACGTCCATGATATATTAGTCAAAAATACAAAAGAAATACATCAACTCCAAAAAAATCCCAAATTTTGTTAACAAAAGGAAAAGATCAACAGGGAAATTACAAATTGGGGATAACAAAATCAAACAATTGCGACAATTTAAATATTTGTCAAGTGTTTTAACTGAAGGCGTAAAATATGACACTGGAATCAGAACGCGCATTAGGCTAGGAAAAGATGCTTTCCAAATGTTAAGCAAAGTTTTAAGAGGCAGGAATGGTTCGTTGAAATGTAAAGAAAATAGTACTGGAGGGTTATGGAAAATGGTGAGAAGACTCAAAAAAAGAACGCCACTTGACTGTCACAAAGATGACATGAAAGTGAATATCTGACACATAGGGTTCTTCCTAATATTGGTGCAACTGGTGTGGTTCTTGCCGAGCAAATGGCTGATGTTTTGCATGAATTCAATAGTGTGAGCACTATCAAGGCTATCCTTGTTGACAAATACTAATGCCAATTCAGGCTGTGAAGGTGGATTTGCTGCACCTCTAGAAAGAAAACTTATCAGAAATCTGCATACTATTGGTTGCTCCTTGCACCAAAATAAACTTCCGTCTAGAGCTCTTTTTAAACATGTAGATGGTACCACAAAAAAAAAGCCCTGCCACATTCAATGGTCCACTTGGAACATTACGTGCAAATGATTACCATAATTTACAGCAAATATCATTTTCAGCTGTTGGCAGTCTTCTAAATTCTATTTTTAAAATTGAAAATGCAGATACCCTTAGTTGTGACCAAAGACTCCTTTATGAATATACAGTGGGTATTTCTAGAGGTAAGATGGACTCTAGATTTGCATCATGGATAATTGGTCCATTAAACCAGGCAGGGTGGTTAACTTTAGGCATCAGACTAATGTGCTTATGGACTCATAGTGCATACCCAGGAAATATTTCAACCAAACTCCACAGTTTAATAAATTTTATTGTGAATGTGTATGCCATTTGTTGGTTCGAAAATAAAAGAAATAACAAGTTCCACAATCAGCAAATGTATATTTTCAATATTATCCAAAGGATTAGGAAGCAACCATATGAAATCCAACAGATCACATCGAAAAATATACAATACAATGCTTTCGCCTTACTGCCTGAAAATATCTTGTATTCAATGTTCAAATCTGATGAACTGGAAGTGAAGGAAGAATCTATAAAAAGAATTTTGGCCATTAGGTTTGTAAATATTTATTCATATAGAAGTGACTAAATTAGTTATACCAATTTATGGAATCATTTTAAGGATTTTATCTAATTTCAACATAAATATTAAAGCAGTACAGAGTGCAATTTTTTAAAAATAAATCAAATTAATTTTTATATTCTTTCAAGAGTGGGGAACAAACCAAGAAAAAATTAAAAAGAATCACAACTATCAATTTTAAAGCTATGCGCTGGAGACAGTTAAAAGATCTGTCATTAAGTGGTGTTTGTGAACCACAACTCACAGAAGAATTATCTGAAAATGAACTTCGGGAATAATTATTAAATGGTACGAAGCTTGTCTTGCCAGATTTGCCATCACATTCTCAAGGCATGGAACGGGCAGTCAAGTTAACAACAGAAGTTTCCCAATCTGTGTATGGCTTTGAAGCAAGGCACCAGCACATAATATCAAAAGCTTTGTGTCAGAAATTGAAACCATCAATTTCATCTGAGGTTTCTTATATGAAGCTATTTGAGTCTATATATTAAGCCATATTTAACTATTATTTATTTTTCCATATTTGTTTGCTTGTTGTCTTTTCATTCAAAACAGAAAAAAATCTATTTTTTAATGTATTCAACAAATACTGCTTAATTCATGAGGCAAAAAACAGCATTTCAAGGTCGTCAGTGATAATGGGGGTTGGGTGCAGATTTTCAATTTGAAGTTTATTTATAATTTCTACATTTTATTACATTTTGATAAAACAAAATAACAACATTCTTTGATTCAAATAGTGAAATTATTTGTTATCTTTTATCCATATTTTGTCCAAATCTTGCAAAATCGTGGATTTTTCAGTGCATTTTTGTCTACGAACTTTGATGCCAAATGCTCAAAAACCGTTGAAGTGACAGATCTAATTTTTTGTATCAGTACTTAATTGGTCCATACACAACATTCGGTACATTATTCTTTTTGATCGTTAAAAAAAAGTCAAAAATCGACCTACCCTAATATATATATATATATATATATATATATATATATATATATATATATATATATATATATATGTGTGTGTGTGTGTGTGTGTGTGTATATATATATATATATATATATGTGTGTGTGTGTGTGTGTGTGTGTGTGTGTGTGTGTGTGTGTGTGTGTGTGTGTGTGCAAATATATAGAAAATAGGAAAGAACAGATTAGGTAAATAATCCGAAGTTCTTTAGTATTTTAATTTTGCAAAACCAGTACTCAATACAAAATTCGAGCATAAATTATAATTATTTTTTTTTTTTAAAATATGATATCTTCGCTACATGAGTGTTCTCATGTTTCAAAAACGGGAGCCGAAACCCTCGATATAATTATCAAAATTAAATTGAATTAAAGAATCAAGCTAACTTGAGGATGAAACCGAGCTTGATACTTTAATTCAATTTAATTTTAATAATTTTATCGAAGTTTTTGGCTCCTGTTTTTGAAACAGGAGAACTCTTATGTAGCGAAGGAATCATCTTTAAAAAAAATTATATATATATATATATATATATATATATATATATATATATATATATATATATATATATACCGTGTGTAACAGCAAAATCATCCAAATCGTGTAAATGCAAATTGTCCATTTGTTAGATTAAGCTATGAACCGTAGAAATGATTAAGGATATCTTACTGGAATTTTCCGAGTTTTTTTTTTTTATACCACTACTTGAATAGGACTGTATAATTATTCTACAAGCTTAACAGAAGAATCTTGATTAAATCGATCATCAACGAAAATGGCATGTTCATCATTAATTAATCATAGCTAAGGACCGGAAGCACATAAAGTTCATATATATGTTCCAGGTGCATTTTCTAAATTATTCAAGATGATCTTTGCCCTCTCTAACCTTCTAACTTTCTGTTTTGGAGTAAGAAGTTGCCTCACAGGTTTCACGTACGATTTCATTTTCAATTCTCTTTTCTCTGCTCTTGGGACAGTCATAGATGAAACTCCTATCTCACGGGCCAAATGGATTGAGTTGAATATTTTCTAATTGATCTCTTTCTGTCTAAGTTGAAATGGTGATCCATCTTTCTGTTGTAACCTCCTGATCCAGTTTTCCTCTCTGAAGTTCTCTCTCATTCAGCATTCTCTTCATGGTTTTTGAATGGAATTTGAAAAGGTAAACCAAATTATGAATGTTGGTAAAATTACTGAAGGCCTGAATGATCCTTTTTTCTTTCACCATTGCTCATTTGGGAAGACAGTGGGGCTGACATAAAACGATTTCAACCTGGTCTATTTGTAGCTGAATAACTCAGAGGCTTTTTCAAAGATTCTTACGACAAATGGTGTCAAGATGGCTTATCAACTTATCTGAAAACCTAGCAAAAATTACTCAATTAGTTTTAGTGTTTTTATTTTTTTTGTTTTTTTGTTATAGATATTTTAAATTGTATGTGATAGACAAATATGCTGTTACATGATTTGGACATGATTATACATATACATACATTTATATATAAATATATTGATTGATGTCTAGATAAATTGATAAGGTACGTCAGCACAGACAACATCTGATAATGGGATAACGTGCTTAATATCAGAGATAGAATGTTTGTAAATATATATATATATATATATATATA